TGACAGAGAGATGGAGAGAGAAAGAGGGGGGAAGGGGGGTCTTTGTTGATTTTAGGAATTTATAATTTTTTCCATTTTTCATCTAATCGTGTGCCACAAATCATCTCTCTCCTAATTAGCGAATCTCATCCTTAGAGAAAGAAGGCCTTCCTCTCGATTTGCCTTCCATCAAGTATCTGAAGCCCAGCCAGAACTCTACCAAAGTCACCTTTCATATCTTCGCTAACCAAATAGATAACACTGTAACCTATTCCCTTGATGAAAAGTGGTATGCAGTCGAACTTTCCAAGGTGAGTTGTGAGTGATGAGTGTTTCAACGATTAGCAATTACTTCCCGTGATGGCTATGTGAATAGATAGTTGTATGCGTGTATGTATATCACCTCATGATTTTCTCCGAACAGAACGAAAACCGAACCTTAGTTCTCCGTATCCTACCTGATGTCGACAGTAACTACACCTGCTGCACAGACGAGGAACTGATAAATTTCCATGCGTCCTATGAGGGTAATGTCCAATGGAGTGAAACGTGTCCTGAGGATTTTACTGTGTACTGCCTGGGTACAGAGTCAGCTACATCAGGTGAGTTTTAAATTACTGCAATGAAGAGAAAACGTTTGCAATTGTTTCCTTTCTATTGTGTCTCTATATCAGCTTTTAGATATCATAAGGGTATCGAGTCTCGAGGGAGGGTTCGAAATTTAGGGCTATAGTCATCCCTTCTTTATATCGTCTGCATTGGCTGGGTAAAGATCTGTGTGAGACTAATAGTGGTGATGATGAAGTTGTATTGATAACAGCTTTTTATAATGGATACTTATTGCTGTCACATGAAAACAGCTAAATCAAATAGGCATCGTAAAATACTAATGTTGATTCAATGGTCACCACAAATCAGATCATCAGTTGACTCAACACCAAGACACCAAAGCTCCCTCAACCCAACAACCTCACTCGAAAGCTCCTTCAACTGAAAACCCAGACCGCAAAGCTCCTTCAACTGAAAACCCAGACCGGAAAACTCCTTCAACTCAACTCTCAGACTCTAAATATCCCTCGACCGAACACCTGGTCACCAATGCTCCATCGACCCAAAACCCAGACGTCAAAGCTCCCTCAAACTTTCCAGATCCCGGACTCTCATCAAGCACAGAAGCCCCTGCAGGTGTGAGCGTACTCCTATTCGTCCTAGCCGTGGCTGGAATACTGCTAGCACTTGAAGTCTAAGGAACACTTGCGAGCCCTGGACGTGTGTGAGCTATTAGAGAGGGACTCGGAGAACGAGAGGTAACTTGAGGAAGAAGAACCAGTTTATTTATATAATATAAAGAATTATATATGTATGATCTTTGTTATATAGAGTCTTAAGCCAAGGTACCACTTGAGTAGTTCTCTGTTGTGACTGGGAAAGTCTTAAGCCAGGGTATCATTAGTAGTTCTTTGTTGTGGCTGGGGAAATCCTTTTAAGCTAAGATACCGCTGTCAGTTCTCTGCTGTGATTAGGGGTGTCTTACACCAGGGTGCCAGTAATAATTATATATCTGCTGTAGTTGAGAGAGTTTTAACCCAGGGTGTTAGTAGCCTTACATACATTGGAGCCAGACACTTTTGGCCTAAGTGTACTACCTGGGGTGCTAAAAGACTAGACCCATAGTATTCTTTGCCAATATATTACTAATGTGATTTGGATTTTTAGTGATTTTCTGAAATCTTTAAAGATATTCCTAAGCTATCTTAACATAACTGAAGTGGGCTTAGACGTGCCTAGCAATGAAAATGTAACTGTGGTGAAACCAAAAGGAGAGACTTGACGCCACAGGATAGCTTAGGGGTCTGGGGCTGAAATTGAGCAGTTTAATTAGACAGAGACGCGTGCGAACCATTTGAAGGAGAGAAACTCAGCTGAAGATAAGATCCATCCCCTGTATAAGAGAATAATTCTCTAATAGATTATAACGAAAAGGGCATTTTTTTCTCCTTGATTTTGACTGAAAGGTTACTCTCGTGATTTTTGACTGAAGAAACATTTTCTCCCTCTACTCTCCAGGATAGATTTAAATCATGAATGAATTATAACCCTGTTTTTTTTATCTGTCATCTTTCTTTTAGTATTCAAGAGTTTGTATTCCTATGATTATAAGGTTTGTTGTATATGTATTTGCTTATAGATGCATTCATTTTATGTGATCACATTTTCCTCCCGTATATGCCCGTGTGTTTGTGTGTGTAAGTGTGTTTGTGTGTGTGTGTGTGTGTTTGTTTCTGTGTGTGTGTTTGTGTGTGTGTGTGTATGTATGTGTGTATGTGTGTGTGTGCATGTATATGCATGTACATATGTGTAATATGTGCACGAGTGAGTATACGTCTCTGTTGGCTTACGGTATCTACAATAAAAGTAATTATTTAGTTTATCTGTTCATACTACCAATTACGTTAAAGTGATTTCAAGGAATATGATAATCCCCACAAGTTTTCTATGTAACGGATCAATAAAGCTATAACTAAGATTTGAATTATTGCTGCTGCAAAAGTAACCTAATTCTCTCCCTGTTTCTGCCTCTGTCTGTCTGTTTGTCTCTGTCTCTCTTTCTCTCTCTCCCCTCTCTTCCTTTTTCTCTCTCTCTCTTTCTCTTCCTCTCTCTCTCTCCCTCTCCATCTTTCCCTCCCTCCCACCTAAGTGACAAAACACAGCGAAAAAGGGCAAAACCCTATAAACCCCGCTGTGATTTATCAAAGGTATATGCCAACGCAATATCGAGATCTTCATTAATATACACATCATTATAAACGCAGAGTCGGCTTGGTTTCTGAAATATTTGAAATAGAAGACATATGATGCATTTCGAGAAGAGAATCATCTCTCTACACCTCAATCCGATCATTTTTTTCTTTTCATAACCAACGCCGGTGACTTGCAAAAGCACAATATTGCAAAATGATTCAATATGCTGATGATTCTCAGTTCAGCTCCTCTCAAGTGAGATCGTAGATGTTGACGCTACAGTCGAAGCAGTGAAGAATTATTATGATGATGATGATGAAGATGATGATGCTGAAGGTGATGATGATGATGAAGATGATGATCCGTGTTAGTGGATTTTTATGTATAGCGAAGAAAATATGGGGCAAGTTTGTTGCTACCCTGGCTGTGTTGTCCTTGTTCGACTAAAGCTTCAGTTATCCCAGGAAATTCTTGAGAAATCCAGGTATTCACTTCATATGCACTTCGATATTCCTGTAACATCAAGAACATATGCAGCACTCTATTGTACACTTAGTAAGGGAGACTGTCATCAACTTTTTTTTCTGAACTATGGAAATCCACATGACTAGCTAACAGGGATGTGATTTGATTATTATTCACAAATAAAAAAAATTTTACTATTCAATTTTTCTGTCTTTGACACACACACAAACGCATATATATACATATATATGCATACACACACACACACACACACACACACACACACACATATATAGACATACACTCATACACACACACAGACACACACACCACACACACTCTCACACACACAAACACACAAACACACGTGTGTGTGTGTGTGTGTAGATAAATAGATAGATACAATATATAATAGAAATATTCTGAAAATTAGAGAAAATAAAGCGTCGAATTAGGCTAGTCTGTAGTACTGTCAGTAGACACAGAAGCATATTAAGAAGTTTCTTGTCATTATGTTTAAAGAGTCATTAACCAATGCGTGTGTAGATAAATAGATAGATACAATATATAATAGAAATATTCTGAAAATTAGAGAAAATAAAGCGTCGAATTAGGCTAGTCTGTAGTGTTGTCAGTAGACACAGAAGCATATTAAGAAGTTTCTTGTCATTATGTTTAAAGTCATTAACCAATGCGTCCTCCCTGTCTTAACAGGGATCAGAAACATGGACTACGACTAACATGCAGGAGAGGAAACTTCTAATTGCCCAAAGAGTAATGGAAAAGTTGATGCTAGGAATTAGCCTGAGAGGCAGGATGAGGGTAACGTGGATCAGGAAGCAGACCAAAGTGGAAGATATGCTTTGGAGAATTAAAAAGAAATGGCAATTGGCAGCTCACACATACTGGAGATAGGACGGCGGATAAATAAAGAAATAAAGTAATGGACTGGGACATAGATACCACACTGAAGCCATTGAAGAGACCAGTGACAAGATGTCTTGACGAAATAACGCAATTCGGGGGCCAGGATAGGAAACAGAGAGCGCGAGACCGGAAAGATTGTTTCTTTGTGTGTGTGTGTGTGCTTGTGTACATGCGTGTTTGTGTTTACGCGTGTATGTATGTGTTTGCACATACGCGGGATAAGAGAGGTATCATCATGTTTATTCTACATATTATCAGCCACACAGTTCCGCCCCAGGCAGCACCGACGCTCCGGGTCGGAGAGGCTGCCCCGTAGCGTTGCTATGAGTAACAGACGAGCGCACAGTCAGGGAGGAATCACATCGGTGAGTCTCAGTGACGGAAAACGAATATATATAGAATATTCTGAAAATTAGAGAAAATAAAGCGTCGAATTAGGCTAGTCTGTAGTGTTGTCAGTAGACACAGAAGCATATTAAGAAGTTTCTTGTCATTATGTTTAAAGTCATTAACCAATGCGTGTGTAGATAAATAGATAGATACAATATATAATAGAAATATTCTGAAAATTAGAGAAAATAAAGCGTCGAATTAGGCTAGTCTGTAGTGTTGTCAGTAGACACAGAAGCATATTAAGAAGTTTCTTGTCATTATGTTTAAAGTCATTAACCAATGCGTCCTCCCTGTCTTAACAGGGATCAGAAACATGGACTACGACTAACATGCAGGAGAGGAAACTTCTAATTGCCCAAAGAGTAATGGAAAAGTTGATGCTAGGAATTAGCCTGAGAGGCAGGATGAGGGTAACGTGGATCAGGAAGCAGACCAAAGTGGAAGATATGCTTTGGAGAATTAAAAAGAAATGGCAATTGGCAGCTCACACATACTGGAGATAGGACGGCGGATAAATAAAGAAATAAAGTAATGGACTGGGACATAGATACCACACTGAAGCCATTGAAGAGACCAGTGACAAGATGTCTTGACGAAATAACGCAATTCGGGGGCCAGGATAGGAAACAGAGAGCGCGAGACCGGAAAGATTGTTTCTTTGTGTGTGTGTGTGTGCTTGTGTACATGCGTGTTTGTGTTTACGCGTGTATGTATGTGTTTGCACATACGCGGGAGAAAAGAGATATCATCATGTTTATTCTACATATTATCAGCCACACAGTTCCGCCCCAGGTAGCACCGACGCTCCGGGTCGGAGAGGCTGCCCCGTAGCGTTGCTATGAGTAACAGACGAGCGCAACACTCTGGGAGGAATCGCTTACATTGGTGAGTCTCAGTGACGGAAAACGAATATATATAGAATATTCTGAAAATTAGAGAAAATAAAGCGTCGAATTAGGCTAGTCTGTAGTGTTGTCAGTAGACACAGAAGCATATTAAGAAGTTTCTTGTCATTATGTTTAAAGTCATTAACCAATGCGTGTGTAGATAAATAGATAGATACAATATATAATAGAAATATTCTGAAAATTAGAGAAAATAAAGCGTCGAATTAGGCTAGTCTGTAGTGTTGTCAGTAGACACAGAAGCATATTAAGAAGTTTCTTGTCATTATGTTTAAAGTCATTAACCAATGCGTGTGTAGATAAATAGATAGATACAATATATAATAGAAATATTCTGAAAATTAGAGAAAATAAAGCGTCGAATTAGGCTAGTCTGTAGTGTTGTCAGTAGACACAGAAGCATATTAAGAAGTTTCTTGTCATTATGTTTAAAGTCATTAACCAATGCGTCCTCCCTGTCTTAACAGGGATCAGAAACATGGACTACGACTAACATGCAGGAGAGGAAACTTCTAATTGCCCAAAGAGTAATGGAAAAGTTGATGCTAGGAATTAGCCTGAGAGGCAGGATGAGGGTAACGTGGATCAGGAAGCAGACCAAAGTGGAAGATATGCTTTGGAGAATTAAAAAGAAATGGCAATTGGCAGCTCACACATACTGGAGATAGGACGGCGGATAAATAAAGAAATAAAGTAATGGACTGGGACATAGATACCACACTGAAGCCATTGAAGAGACCAGTGACAAGATGTCTTGACGAAATAACGCAATTCGGGGGCCAGGATAGGAAACAGAGAGCGCGAGACCGGAAAGATTGTTTCTTTGTGTGTGTGTGTGTGCTTGTGTACATGCGTGTTTGTGTTTACGCGTGTATGTATGTGTTTGCACATACGCGGGAGAAAAGAGATATCATCATGTTTATTCTACATATTATCAGCCACACAGTTCCGCCCCAGGTAGCACCGACGCTCCGGGTCGGAGAGGCTGCCCCGTAGCGTTGCTATGAGTAACAGACGAGCGCAACACTCAGGGAGGAATCGCTTACATTGGTGAGTCTCAGTGACGGAAAACGAATATATATATGATTGTATATATATACATTCACACACACACACACACACACACACACACACACACACACACACATATATATATATATATATATTGTTGTTTGGCTTGGTTTCGTGAACGAAGATTTAGGAAGAGTGCTGTCCACGTCTGGTGCAGGCACGTTCATGGCTGACAAGTCGAGAGCAGAGCCGGCCACAGCAGCTGCAAGGGAACGTCTGGTCCGGGCTGCAGTGTTGCGGTTTTTCCTCCTCCTGCGTTTGTCCTCAAGGTTGGCCCTGCGGTTATTTTCGAAGGAGGAGACGGCTTGGTGGATGGCATATTTCCAGGTGTCTCAATCAGTCGCTACTGTGGACCACTGACAGTGATCAATGTGGCAGGTGCCAAGAGCTTTCTTCAGGGAATCTTTGTACCTCTTTTTGGGTGCCCCTCTGCCACGGTGGCCAGTGGGCAGTTCACCATACAGCGTGATCTTGGGCAGGCGGTAGTCCTCCATTCTGGAAACGTGCCCTGCTCAATGTAGCTGGGTCTGTAAAAGCATTGCCTCGATGCTGTTGACTTTTGCCTGCTTCAGGACCTCAACATTTGTGATGTAGTCACTCCAATGGCTGCCGAGGATGGTGCGAAGGCAGCGCTGCTGAAAGCGCTCAAGCAGTCGTATGTGATGCCGGTAGGTGACCCTGGTTTCGGAGCCGTACAACAAGGTGGTTAGTACAACAGCTCTGTACACACTGATCTTTCTGTCTTTCTTCAGATGTTTGTTGTTCCACACTCTCTTGTATAGCCTGCCGAAAGCACTGTTTGCCTTTGCAAGTCTGTTGTCAATCTCCTTATCGATTTTGGCATCAGATGAGATGGTGCAGCCTAGGTAGTTGAACTGATGGACTGACTGTCTCACTGATGTTGATATGAGGAGCGTTGCATTCTTCCCGAAGAACAGGCTGGTAGAGAACTGTCTTTTTCAGACTTACTTCTAGACCGAAGAGCTGTGTAGTCTCTGCAAAGCAGGACGTTATACGT